TGTTTTGTTTATTTAAAATCAAATCTCTCTTCCATGAATCTCGAAATCTCATGATCAAAATTATCGTTAATGGGTAAATTCAAGGGATTACAAAGAGGTTTTCTAAGAAAAATATGTGTGTATCGAGGAAACGTCAGCATCAATTTGCAACATTCCAATTTTCAATAAGGCCTCTGTGGTTCCTTTATTTATGTAGAATTGCAGGTACCACAGACATCTGATGCTATCAGTGTCACCGAAGCACATACATTTTTAATAAAAATCCTCTTTTAATCCCTTAAATAAGTCTTGTCCATAATATATATTTTATTAGAATATCAGAAACAGAGTTTTCGGGTCAGTGCCTTTACCTACAGTAATGTAATCATCATAGTGTCATTGTAACATACCTCGAATCTAATTTTATAATTAGACATTATTATTCCTTCTATATCACAAATATGTTCAAATGTATATATATTTTGTTAAGATAGGTTTTAATCATATATATTTTATTTGAATAAAAATATATTGAGAGCAGTAAGAGATTTTCTTCGTGGATCTCTTAGAGGATCTCACACAAGAACCTTAGATTGTGCTGCAGTCCAAGAGATGTTACAGAAACGGAACAGATACTTTGTAAATGAACAAGCAGTCTCTCAAAAACCCCACACACCTTTACAGCAGCAAATTTTATCCAATTCTATACGAAATTGCATTCTTAATCACTTAAAAGGTCAGTATCTAGATTTCGTCCAAATTGTATCAGAATGTAGACATTATTGAGTCCACAAGTAAATATTGACGTATTTTGGCTTTTGGTCACGGGGGAAATTAGAGAAAAACGTGTCCATGCTGGATCAAATATAGCTTCTACCTTGTTGCATTCAAAAGCCAAGGGTAATTCCAAGGCCTAAAGGTTCATGGTTCATCGAAAAGGGTCAAATATTTCGAGTGAGACATTGTAATCTGCTATCTTATATGGTTATACGACTTGATGGTTATTATTCACATGGTTTAGACTGGCAGGTGAATGTTGTTGGCGTCAACATAATGGTTAGAGAGGGATGGATTGGGATGTTGTGCGCAGACAATATGAATTGTTTATAAAACAAGATAAGATATTAACACATTATTTTATTTCCGGAAGCATCAGTCCATTCAGCAGTACACCCACAGCCCTGACTGAAAAATGAATTCAGCATGAATAATGATAGCAATATTAAAACATAACTTGAATCATGTTTTTAAGCGCTATGCGATCTTCAGACATACAAAGTGGGCTGATTGTTTGAATTCAATCAGATTTCAAATTGGCGTATATTTCCCACAAGGTTTATCTTAAACTCAAGTAAATTAAAATGGTAGGTGAAAATGTAGTTTAGGTGACTTATACGGCAAAATAAATTGATGACGGATTACATGCTTTGAATTTTACATATTCCTTATCGTTACCAGCTGAAAATTTGTTTTAAGATTAAACATAGCCTGGCTAACTGGTATTTCAAATATATGCCAAAGTGCAGAACATGTCAATGAAATCTATTATAATAAACATAAATTTATACTTTTTTTTACCTGCATTTAGCTCCTGGATGAGATGCACATATAGACACCATGCATGGGTTAACAAAACACATTACTTGGAATGCACATTTTGAACCTCCTAAATTAAAATAAAACATTAAATGATTTTGAATTGACTGAATTCGATCAATAATCAACAATTTAGATTTTATCTTCATCGGAAAATATGTCCATGAGCAGATTCACGTTTCAGAATAAAAATTATCGTCAGCTTCCTGTACAATGAGTTAAAAAAAATAACAGTGGACGTGATGGTCTAGGTATAGGCGACAAATCGGTCATCAGACTTTCATTATAAAATGATGTATGGATATCGAGGATTTAGTTTATTAAAAAAGAATGTCGATGATTTGTCTAGATATTAAACCTTAGCCATTTTCTAATATTGTCATTATCAAAAGTGTACCTGCTCATATCGACCACTCATCATATTGATCGGATTGATCAGATTATGCAATGCTGCCAGTAAGTTGTTAGTAGTTGTTGGAAGTCTATATTTTCTGTAAAGTCGACCTGAACTTAATGTACATTCGTGCTAAAGCTATGTGATGCAAAATAGGAATGTAATGATTATACTAGGTTTAACTTACCAAAAGATTCCAGAAATCTTCTGTCAGGAGCAGCTGAAAGAGTCAATTTAGGCAAAAATCATATTCAAAACCTTAAGCAAATTCAGATTTTTACTATACCGAAAGGCAAAAGAAACACCAATTCTGAAAATACATATAAACTTTACAAGACTCTGGCACTTACATATCATGTGGTCAAGAAAACTCATTCAATGCTCTACTATGCTTCTTTTTGTTTCAGTCCAGTCCAGATTATTGAAAATATGGATAGGCCTATACACTGTTTATGACGTGTTTTACCTTCCAGTATAATAAAAGTAATTACAACAGTAACTACATTCAGACAGAAGCATTATTTACAGGAAAATATGAAACTCTTACCACTAACTGCAACAACAACAAATAAAAGGAGGGCAATTACACAGGCTTTCATGGTACCGTTTTAACAAAACTTCACAAATACCAAATCAACAACTAAACTTGATTTTATATGAGAAGAAAACAGGTGGGAATTTTTTAATCAAGATAAAAAACATATTTTTTATTAGATTAGGGTGTGATTTTGTTCGATTTCCATACGCATGTCACGTTGTTAATTCCTTCAGCATATTGTCGAATTAATTATCAAACTTGTCAGATTATTAAAACATCAGCCAACCTTGCCTGTTTATCAAATCATCCTTGCCTGTTCATCAAAGACTCAACCGACCTTCCCTGATCATCAAAGTATCAACCGACCTTCCCTGATCATCAAAGTATCAATCAACCTTGCCTGTTCATCAAGCATCAATCAACCTTGCCTGTTTATCAAAGCCTCAACCAACCTTGCCAGTGCATTTAAACATCAACAAACCCCGCATTTCTTTTCGTGAATACCTGTACCTTGGATATCTGGGGCAAAAAAATGGCTTTTAAATGTGAAAAGAAAAGTTTCCAAGCAAATAAAAACAGTTTTTTTCTGCGATTCCTGTCAGCAAGTTCGGAAATTACTGTATTTTATGGTATGGTTTATAGCTAAGGTATTGGTCACTGCAACCGGGTTCTTTGATCAAGTGTAGTCTTCAAGTAATCAGAATATTACAGTTATCAAAGATACGTTTGAGTGATCCAAAAAGTTTTTGTAAATCCTTTGATTGTCATAGATTTGATAAAACGAACCCTGTTTTGATCTAATGCAGTCTACCCGGATAGAATAAATAATGAATAAATTCTATCTGACCCTAGACATACATGCGGTGTAGATTACCGATGTAGGCCTAGGATGAACTAAATAACATATTTTATATCATAATTTTATTTTTCTATTCAAATCAATCACGTGATATATATATACATAAAAATATCAAAGGGAAACCAAACAATTACCAGTATCATCCATTATAAAATAAATCTTACAATAAGAACACAACATTATAACTGTAAAATAGTCCTTCAACAGTTCCCAGCACCTGTACATAAGTACATGTACAATAAAATTGTTATCCATGTACTATGTAATTGTTATCTAGAGTTTGTTTAGCACATGTACCATAAAATTGTTATCAATGTACCATGTAATTGTTATCTAGAGTTTGTACTGCACATGTCAATTGTTACCTCAGAGGTTAAAAACGTATTAATTTAATTTCTGAAAACTACTTTTCAAGGTAAAAGTAAAATTAGACAGACCATTCAAAACTATTTTATTATATATCACAGAAATCTTCATTCTTAAATCTAGTTTTTCTTTATGCCCAATATTTGATAAATGCATATTCTCGACAACCTGCCTCTGATATATAGATATTCATTATTTAAGAGATCATTTTGAGTACTATTCTAAATGTAAATCACAGGCAATTTTATTTGTCAAGGATCATCAACTTTTGAGGGAATGGTCATCCAGTTACCTGCTTTAAATACACAAACGTAATGAAATGAATGGTGTTCTACATCCTACTTTTCCCCACTATATGGACTAATACAATGTCATGCAGAGGGCAATGAGGGAAATTTTGCCAGGACAGTAGCATTAGCCTGCTCTTTTTCGATTTCTAACTGTTGAGGGATCTTTAACCTGCACAGCCTGTAGTAAACAGGTTTTATGGTTTATTGTTCTAGCTGAAAGACTGGATGCTGTCAGTCCCTCTATATACCTGTATCACTGAGAGAGGGAAATCAGGCATTATATTGACCTATATTGGGAAACCTGGACCTTCAGGTTAGCAAGCAAGCGTCTAACTCATTGAGCCACAGTGGCTCCCTTTGAGATCAGAAAAACAACTGAAACTGCCAGTATAGCTATTCACTTTAGTCTCTTATTCAATGAAAGAAATTTATGTAACCTTGACATTTCCCACAACATTAAACAGAATATAACATGTCAGAAACTTAGAATTATAGGACAGGGCAATTTAGCCTAGTTGTTCGATCAGAACAATAAACCAATGTCATTTGTTCTACAAGCTGTACACGTTTAAGTTCCCTAAACAGGAAATCATAAAAGAGGGGGCTAATGCTACTGTTTTGCAAAATTTCCCTCATTGCACACTGCATGGCATTGCTTGTTTTTCATTACAGTAGCCCAATCAGGAGTCATTTCATTTCATCTTTTATAGGATTTTGTCATAATTACCAATCAGGTGCTCCTTGTATTTGCAAATTATATTGTCGTTACTTTAAACTTAAAACAAACGTTTGTTGTGAATTCAGTACATATTTGTTTAACAACTGTAGAAATACACTCAAACTGAATTTGATGTAATATTGAATTACATTTGTATTTGACAATCCATTTGCCCTATGAATAAATGACATTTCAAATGACATACCTATGATACAAGACACTTCAAAAGTAAAAAGCCCTATAAATATAAAAATCTAAGAGAAAACTGCACACATGTATTATTACTGAAGTAAAAATAAACTTAATGAAACATAGTACATAGCATTTTTTTGTCCTACTAATTAGAACAAATTTCAGAGATCAGTATCTGATAATTCCATGCTTTTGCCAGTAACCAATGACAAACAAGATGTTAAGATTTCATTCTAAAGTAAGCTTCATACAGAAAAGTGAAACTGAGCTCATCCAGCTCATAAAAAAAAATAACATGTATAAAATTTCTTGGAATATTTAGACAGAAACACAATTAAATGTATATATTGATAAACTTATTATATAATAGTGTCATTATCAAAAATACACATTTAGAGAATACAATATGTGTCTTTCAGTCACTTCTATAAATTTACATCATTATAATTTTTTATATTTTTTACCGGTATGTGATTCAACACTAATTGTGAGATTTTTTCTTAAAAACTGCCCCATTCCTAGAAAAAAAAAGTGTTCATCTATGGCTTTTAGAATAATTTGTCATAATGCTCAAGAGGATAATTTTCTTTGTACTGTTTCACATGTGCTTTCATTTCATTCTTTTGTTCTTCTAAATGTTTAGGTAATATATCATAAACATCATTAAACATTTCTTCAGGGTTAGGTCTCTTACGGTTTTCAGCTTCTGCAAAAGATTTCATTACCAATTTGCGTGCTTTAAGTTTCCAGGCTTTTTCTTTCTCTTCATCCCAGAAATTATTATTGGTCATATAGTTTCTAAGACGTGATATTGGATTATCTTGCTTATCCCAATAACTAACTTCATCTACAGATCTATATGCAGAGCTATCATCTGATGTGCTGTGGTGTCCAATACGATATGTCATAGCTTCAATTAAAACTGGTCTATTCTGAGCTACACACATATCTCTAGCACTTTTCACAGCATTGTATACAGCAAAAACATCATTGCCATCAACTCTCACAGTTGGCATGCCGTAACCTATGCCTCTTGATGCTATGCCATCTCCTCTGTATTGATCTTTCACTGGAGTAGATATAGCATAACCATTATTTCTACAAAAGAATATGACTGGACAATCTAATACTGCAGCAAAGTTGAATGCAGCATGAGCATCTCCCTCTGAAGCTGCACCCTCACCAAAATAACAGATGACACATAACCCATTTTTTGCTCTTTTGTATGCATAAGCTGCACCAGCTGCTTGTGGCATTTGTGTGGCCAGTGGAGAGGATATTGTCATAAAGTTCATTTCTTTGGATCCATAATGTACAGGCATCTGTCTTCCTTTACCAATGTCATTCTCATTACCATAACACTGGTCCATGAATTGATCCAAAGTAAAGCCTCTCCACATTAACACACCAGCTTCTCTGTACTGACCAAACACCATATCTTTTTGATCCAGAGCAGCAGCAGAACCAATATGGGTGCCCTCCTCTCCATAGTTTGTCATATAAAATGAAATTCTTCCCTGCCGCTGAGATTCATATAATATCCGATCCATAGTATTTAATAAAGTCATATCTTTATACATTTTGATGACAGTTTCGGAATCCAATTTTGGATCTTCACTGTCCTCCAGAATTTTACCATCTCGACCCAATGCTCTGTACACAGGAATTCCATCTACTTTGTCAGGATCAATGAACTTTAATTTGCTGATAAATTCCGACTTTGATCCCGGAAATTCTGGTCTTTCGTCGAATTTCGATGTAGGTGGGTTCTGAGAATATAAGTTGGCACTCAACCGATGGAATACTCGTCTGTTTATAAGATGACATGTTTGCAATCCCTTACTTTTTACATAAACCTGAAAGAAATGTCTCTGCATGACCGACATTTTGGAATAATTATCACGAGTTGCTTCCCTTGAAGTCCATTGTACTTAAAGTAAAGCGTAATTGATATCAATGTAATACATTATAGATGAAAGACATTTTTAGTGTTTTCTAAATTAAAGTAAGAGACAAACAAAATTTTTATGGTTGTCTAAATTAATTGTGAATATTTTATGTAAAAATAGAGTCTTTATAATTTTATTTTCGCAAATAATAAATGTTCCAAATAAATCCAAAAACAAAGTTTGGGCGTTGTAACCGCATCACTCAACATTTTGCCCTACATAAAGTGAGAATTACGTTTTTTTGGACATAATTTGTATGTTTGTATTTTATTTCACGTTATTTTTTTGTAACAATTCTTGTTTGTCTGCTTTTTTGCCATTTACACGTGATGTTTTCATATTCGTGGACTATTTTGTTTCAAGCTATAATAGTGTAAGAATACATTATCAACTACAAGTTTGTTTACATTTTTTCACGATAAGAGTGAACGAAATTTTTGTTCGACTTGAAAGTAAACTATAAGTACCTAGCCTATATTCTGTGTGTAACACTTATCAAGCCTATTTGTTTTTGTCTGTTACTAGTTCTCATTGTTCAAATATAAGTAAGGATCTGTAAGAATTGTAGTTTTCTTCTCCGTGTGTAAGGAGTGTGGACGTTGTCAGTGTCGTAAAAATACAAGTAAACAAACTGAAATCTGGAGACTGTTCTTTAATTGAAATAAAAACATTCATTGTAGAATTCAAATTCACCTCTGCAAATTTTCCATTACTGGGCATATTCATCAACCCAATTAAAGATTCTCCCTTCTTTTTTTTTTTTTGGGGGGGGGGGGGGGAATGACAATAAATCGAGGGGCTGTTTGCTACAACAGACTGTGCAAGTTAAGGGTCCCTCGACAGGTTGAAATCTGTAAAGCGCCTAATGCCGCTGTCAAAGCAAAATTTCTCTCACTCCCTGTATGGCGTTGTCCGTCTTCATTAGCCCTCATAATGCAGAAAAGTAGGATGTAAAACTGCGTTCATGTTATTCATTTTTTTGGTTTAGCTAGGCCTAGCCTACTAATTAAAATGAAAATTAATGGCAAGACCAAAATGTAATTCTGATTTTATCAATATAAATCTAGATCTACCTATATTTTTGTTTCAGCTTCATGACAAGTATGACAGCTTGCAAGGAAGTTTTACCCAAAGTTGGACTATTGTATCATGAGGACATGCCCACAGTTGTTTTATGTAAACCCAAACTTTTACCTTTAAAAAGTGTCACATTGGAAAAGATGGAGAAAATGCAAAAAGAAGCTCAAGAAATTGTTAAAAAACAAGATTTGGAAGCAAGAACATTTGGAAATACCAATAGTGGATTTTAGTAGTAGACTTATATTTTAAATTATTTGTCCGTCCTGGTGTTATTTTTTACATTGTTAATATTATATTGTAAGCTAATTAATAAAATGTAATCTTTAATAATTATAGTAATGTATAATAGTTTTTACATGCCCATATATCTTATCAAGGTTTAATGGCTAACACTGTATTACTTTTTAATTGAATGAAATGGATTAGTGGGTGCAGAGTTTTGACCCTATGATAGGTTCTGATACAGAGAATGATGTACATGGTAAATGTTTCAGAATTTACAATTTAGTTTAAGTTACTTCCCTCAAATATCTGCATTCAAAATTAACCTTAATTTTCAGAATTAATAATTAAGTATAAGCCTAAATTACTTCCCTTATCTCTCCTAATTTAACATTGCTAAGATCGTTCTGGAAGGATGAAGGCTACACAGAGAAAACAGAATATTTGAAAGTCCCTCGCTCGAGAACGATGTTATTTGCTCAGTCGAGAACGATTTTATTTGCTCAGCTAAGAAAGCTCGTGACAGAAATGAAATCTGAAATGAGTATTGAAAACGTGTGAAATGTCTTTCATACAGTTGAATCATATTATTAGATAACTGACTGCGCCTAAAACCCTAATAAAACGTGCCAGATATCTCATAGACGTAGTGACCGATATTTGTAATATTTTATAGTAGGACTGTATATTATCATAATAAAGATTATACCTATGGTTCAGATTAACCTCAACCTAATTATTAACTTACTAAATGTGATATGGCACCTTCCGTAGGGTTATAGAAACCTACACAAATAATTTGTTATATCAAAGTGTCCTAATATGACCTTTACAAAGATCGTGTCATAGAAGTAATAATTAACCTTCCTATTTTCAACAAGATTTTTCCCCAGTCAATGATGCAGGTCGGAGCAATGGGCACATCGTTTAGTCGTATATAGGGGACAAGAAACAACAGGTTAACGTTAAAGGGTTACTACGTCTTAGAAAACATAAAATTTGAAAATTTTAAACTTGGCCAATAAGAGCACATATTCATCAGTATATATACCTGGTGTCATCAATAACATACCAGGATCCATAAATAATCCGATAAATCCAAAAAACTTTACGAAAATGCAATAAGAACCAGAGAAGATGAGGATTAAGTGGGCTGATATCAGTCTCGGGATATAGAGGGATCATTCTCTTATATTGAGAAGTTCTTAAAGGGATACTACGTCTTAGAATGAACATAAAATTTAAGAATTTTTAACATCGCCAATAAGAGCATATATTCATCAGTAGATATACCTGGTGTCATAAATAACATAACATGATCCTTATATAATCCGATAAATCCCCAAAAACTTAATAATAATGCAATTAACTATTGAAAACCGCTTAATATTATGATTAAGCATTTTTCAATAATAACAAGTTTTATGAATTATCCAATTTTCTAGATTTTACAGGGATTCTGTTGTAACTTTATGACACCAGGTAAGTTCACTGATGAATTATTCTCTAAATTCTAAAAATAAGGAAGTTTTTCCTTATTAGCCGCTGTGGTCAAATGAGTTTGCACAGAATTATCTCCCTTGAAGTAAAACAAATTAAAACGTAACAAATTTCATTCGTATTCATAAGAAAATCGTTAACAATTCAAAATGTTCCGGTTGTAGACACGAGTTCAATCTCACCAAAGACGTCCTAAATGATATTACCATAAAACAGTACTATATATGGTCAGGGATACTGCAGCTTTTAAATATTACTAGATTTGGCACAATTAAAAGTATTAATTTTATTCGCAGGTCGTCGTGATAAATTTCTATTTTGGCATATTACAAGAAATATTGGATATCGCAAAAAGAGATTTTTCACTCTCGAACTGCGATGCGATACCGCTTAGATCGAACATTGGCCTCAAAGTTACTTCATTTCTATTTATCTCAAAAATTGACTTGGATAGTGTCATGTGAGTCTGTATCATTTGCAAATAGATTGGACAGTTTGGGCTTACTAACATAAATATAATTCAAAAGTCAAACAGGTCACCACTTGAAGGATCGAGTAGGCCTACGTGCATTCTGTTGGATTAGCATGACACTATATGTTTTCTTTAATACCTTGTTTTCTTTTAACATTCGAAATTACTTAGTAAATGGATATTACTTCTGGATCTTTTGGATTATTAAATTGTCGTATGATTTTGGTGGTTGATCACACAAACGAGTCAAACGCCATTACTCGGAACTTCAGAACAAATTTCCAAATGTATACACAAAACGTTTGGTTGTAGCTTACAAAAGAAATCAAAATCTTCGCAATTTCCTCTTCACGGTAGTCTTGAACCATTGAACAATGCCCATTCATCCTAAGAGCAGATAAATCTTCATATAAATGTATCATGTTATATAAATAAATTAATCGATTTCTAAGTTAGATTTCAGGGAATACTTATTTCAGGACTGGTGCCATGGCTATATACAGTATATTATATGACATGCAGTGTATGTTTGCGTGTGTGTCTTTTCAACTAAAATCATATACTAATGACTAACTAATTTTCACATAATTAATAGACTTATCTATTGCTCTGTGACCTAGGCCAGTGCTTTGATTGAGACTCGTCTCAATACACCCTAACACAAACAGACAGAATAAAACACACCAGTGAGTTTGCCGCAGAAAAGCCATTTATTTTGTTCAGCCCGTTTATATATTGGGTCCGATCCTTGTGATAAGATAAACTTATAGCCTTAAGAACGTGCAGTTAACATTGTATATAAACATAGGGGGCACTTGTTGTCACGTGACTCATCTTACTGACGTCACGGTAAATAAACCAAAACATCAACAAAGTATCGTGACAGCTTGTGGCTAGCAGTCGAAAAAACGTTACTGTCTTTATATCACCAGATTTAATACGGATACGACCATCATGGCATCTTTATCTAAACAGGATAATTCAGACGACTTGAATGGTAAGTACCATTTGTTCAAATTCTACTCACAAATTGCGATTTAAGCGAAACTGGGTCAGTTGTTTCATTTGGCGTCTGCGTTTGCTGCTTATAATAGAATAATAAAGCCAGTAGATTGGTCGATATACAGGCGCAGATGAATGTCATTATCGTACTGCATTCAGACACGTAAAATTCGGCTACATAATTTGACAGATTTCGTCTAGAAATGTTTAACTTTGGTGTGACTTGAATGAAATTCTATCTTTTGCGTCTGAATAAATGTTTGGGATGAGGATACCTTTGCCCTGATAAAATGTAAACAAAAGAAGGAATGTTTGGCCACACGTCAAGCTGTTGTGAGTTTGACAGTTCTGTGAAAAATTTATGTGTGATGCCAAAATTTGGAGCTTACACCCAAATATTTCCATCAGCACAGTATAATTGTTTAATGGGGAAATAGGTCTTTTGGCTATGCCTTGAAAATACTAGAGTAGAGGCTGCCCTGACATTTAACCCAGATTTTTATAGATTTTTCCCACATAAACAATGGTGTTCATTAAAATGTAACTGAGGGTGGAGTTGTCATAAGAAATCAATATAATGCTCATAACCAGCATTTATCATCAGCTGTAGGCCCTAAGTATTATATTAATACTAATCACACCATTGTCCAGTCAGTGTAATACTAAACATTTATTGTACAGCCACATGAAAAAAAATATTCTATTCTAATCTGGGTAGATAAAATATGGGTTATAAAAAAACGACCTATTTTAGTCATAATATTTTGAAGTCAAATGAACTCAATGAAATTTCAAAAGGATTTTTGAGTCTTAATGGCCTATGTCATAAATTTGTAGATAATCAAAGAACAACTGATTATAGTCTAAAATCCTAAATGGCATGACCTTTCATTGGAAATACAGACCTATTAGGTCCAACCATCATATGAATTTTGGATGTTTCCAATCTGTTGCAGATTGTGCACGCAAAGAAAACCTTTTTTCACATTTTTCTTTGATTTTATTTACAGGCCTACATGTATTCTTAAATCAGCTTTTAAATTTGCTTAGGTCCACCCATTTAATAATTCTAATTCTAATGGACTATATAACCACTGCCAATCCAAATAGTGATAACTGGACCTAATAGATGATTATACTATGAACTTTATTTGACCTATTGCACTCTGAAACATCTTGTTTGTTTTGATTTATGTTTTTCACACAAATTTTTTCTTATAAAAAGTTATGAATGAAATGACTATATGATTAAATGAAAATAGACAAATCAAAATATCTGGGTTAATCAAGTTTGACAGATAAAGAAAGTTCATTGTTCTTAATTGAATTAACACAATGGTTCAAAGAATGCACACAATGCTATGTTTAAAGAATTAATAGGACAGCTATATGTTTGCTCAATATCTTTTTATGAAATTTAGGCTAATCAATAAACTACTGTGCAATATTACATGGGCCAATGATAAATTGTATTTCAGGAAATTTTGTTATATGGGCTACAGAGCACAATATTGTTACCAGTCTGCGAATGACATTTCTGCATATTTGGCATATTTCATTCAGCAATTTCCTTGATTCATGACAGGCAAATACCATACACGATGATAATTCTTGCATGCAATTTGTAAACATTTAGATCTTTGATACTTTGTACTCTCATATCAGTTATCAATAGTACCCATTATCTTTAACTAAACATAACAAGCCCATCTTTGTAACTTTAGTCAGTGCTAAAATAATTGGAAATTTTATTTTCATATCAATGCAAGAATTTGAACAGATAAATTGCCAATTTTTAAAAGAGATTGTACCTTAGCAGGTGCAGACTGCAGTGTTATTGACAAAATCACCCCAACTTTCTTGGACACCTGGCTTTTCATTGCATCTTGAATTATCCATGAATAAATGGTTTTTATTCTTAGGTTATTAAAATGCAGATCAAGTAGATATTGCATTTCCTTTTTAAGCTGTGGGTAAATGCATTCAATATACATGATCTGATAAAATTATTCCTCAAAATGTATCCAATCAAGATTTTATCAATATAACCCTCAAAACACTGTTAAATGTGGGCTGAAAATTTTAAGTCAATTTTTAACATGTGGACCTCCATTCCTTATATGTAGTTGTTGAATCTTTTGAAATTTATAAATATGTACTTTTGAGCTGTATAGAAATACCATTAACATGGCCACCACTACAAAAATACCTGTTCATTTCATAGTTTGTTCAGCTTATATGTAAATGTCTGATTTTTTTAAAGTGCTACTGATACACCAATTAATGATTTTTCTGCTGATTAGATTAACAAGTGTATAAATGTTTCAAAAAAGAGACTCATTACTATCTGCACCTTTTTATCTTCTGGTTCTTGAATATTTCACCATATTATATCAGATCATAGCTAGCACAGTAACTATTTGAATGGTATGTGATAGCATGATTTGGTCAAGTTCCTAGAAGTAGGTTTGATTTGGTTATTTTAATTTTTCAAATGGCTGGAGAGTTTTGATATAAAATTGCTTGAGTGTATAACAATGTAATTTAAAGTAAATGAGCTTTTCATTTGAACCCTTTATTATCCTATAGCCTTTTTCAATATATAAAGCCAGAGGCAGACAGACAGTTATTCTAATCAGCTTTTGTTTATTGTTGAATTTGAGGCCTTGAGAATGAAAAAAATAATGTAGATTATCAGTTGTATCATTTTAGATTTTGTGTATGTTATTTTTATTGTACATGTATGTCATGTCATCAAGGCCAAATTTAAGAACATCTAAACAGCTTTTTACAAAACATGTGAAGTGAAAGTAAAACTTCGTTGTTAGGTATTATATCATGACACAGTTCTAAGGAATTACAAACAACTACTTGCAAGTATGAAAAAAATGCAAACATCAATATTGTTTTTCTTCTATGAATTTTGATTGCAAAATTAGATGTCTTCAGAACTATTTTGGTACTTCAATACATGAGTGTATGTGTTGTATCAATTGAGTGGTATTATATCAGGTCATTCACTATTCAGTTTTTCTTCCTCTCCATGACATAGACAGTCATATAGTAAATCCTTGAATATTCATTTATGCCACCTCTTTTTGGTTGGCATTTTCACATTACAATTAAAGAGAAGCTTTTGTCAGCTTGACACAGAGCTTAAAAATTTTTATAGTTTTATCTTATAATGTTTACAAGCATCTTATAAATCAGAAGCACAATTATCCTGATTATGCAATATTACATAGTCATCATTTCCCTTTGATGCAGATAGACAAAAAGGTGAAACACAGGTTGTACACTTGAGTACTCAATGAAGTGTAGCTATACCCATTGTGTTACGTAGGTGATGGGAAAGAGGAAATATCAAAAGAAGCATTGTCCTGTGACCTGAAGCAAACATTTGCACTGTTAAAGTGCACTAATTATCCACTTCAACTGCTGATACATCTCAATATTAGCTTCCTGTAGCATTCTTTAAAATGAAAATTACAAAGTTCATCCAAAATCCAATTTAAGATTTGGACATTTTAACATTTCTTTTATAACCAAATAGATTTAGAATAATAATGGGTGCTGGAATTCTGTATTGAGAAGCCTGCATGATTGATTATTATAAACAAAATCCTCTGAATTCAGGTCTAATTTGGATTCATGACAAATTTTTGATTTTTTTTCATGCAGTATGACCTAAGCACTGATAAAGAGATATTAAGTATACCTAAAACTTGTAACCTTAGGGCACTTTCTGAATTGTCATGGTTCCTGACTATTTTATAAGTTTAATAAACAGCTACTGGATGTACTATAACTCCTCAAAGCAATTGATATGGTTAATTTGAAAACAACCACACATAACCTATAGCTCAGCTGTTATGTGATCTTGCTGAATATTTTTAGGCTTTTAAAATTTGAATAGAAATAGGTGTTCAGTGAAAATCAATTTATATAGGAATTATGACCCTCTGGTGACCCTACTTGGTGTATAAGGTTGACCCAAGAGAACACATTACCTAATTAGAATTATATAGAATATACATTCATTATTTGTAATAGATTATATAGAGCTATTTGATTTGTCAGTCTAAATTACTAGGCTACATGTATTCGGTTTAATTAAAATTAGACCAAGCTTTCGTTCTGTTTTATTGACTGTGATTTTTAATATAACCACTTCAGTTAGGGTCTAAAGATGGCCTTCTTGAACATTGATTAGTTTGATAACATGGCGGGCCAATCCAATTCTCTGCCCTCTCCACTGCTGCAATTTTGTGACATGAACAAAAAGTGTAGCATGAGAAGCATTAGACATTGAATGCCCCTTTTGTTTTCATAATAAATGATAGATGTGTAAATTGGCATGGAATTGGATTGGCTGGTCGGGTTATCAAATTAATGAATATTTAAGAAGGCTGTCTTTAGATCTTAACTGAAGTTAAAATTACCCCAGTTCTAAATAAAAAACGGAAAACAAAAGTTTAGTCTAATTTTAGCTATGTGTTTTTTAATGTGTTTAAGGTAAAAAAAAACAGCCTAGAAAAATGTGTCCTTTTTGCACTCATTTTTTTTAATATTCTTTAACAGATAGTTATCCATAGATGTATATGGTAGCAATTATCTTGACTATAATACCAAATATCATTTATCTTTCTTTTTTGGATTGATATTAATTTAATAGTGTAGAATAGGGTTAAAATCTGAATATTTTAGAAAGGAAACCAGAATGTGTGATTTTTGACCCAATTCTTTAGGAGGAAATAATGAGATATAGGTCAGTCAGATTTAGGTTATAGTATATAATGCATTATAGACCTATATCTATAATGCCAAAAATGTACTTACTAAGAATACCAAGCTAAGAAAATATTGAATATCACTACTATTAAATGACTATATTTAGTTATAATTTGACCTATTTCCCATGGCAGTATTACTGGGTAAAATATCTTACATATTTATTTTGTCATTTTTTAATTTTTTAAACCATAAAGTCTATTGGGTGCAGGTTATATTAGAAACTCGCCATGAAATAAGTAAATGTTTACTGAAAACCAGATACATAAAGCAAGGTTAATTAATTTATATCAGAACTATTTTCAAAGACGACCATCTCTCAGCAGAATTTTGACTATCATTTTCAAAAATATGATTCAGAATTTCTCAAATAAGTTTCATACAACATTTTCAAGGACCTGTGGTGTATTTTTTTTTCAAGGAAATACATTTTTTGCACAATTTTTTTTTGTTTTGATAAAATCTCTAGTCTTTCACCCTTGTACATACATAGCTGTTGCGCAGCATCATATTGCGAGTATTTGGAACTAGCTGTATATAATTATAATTGCTGATATGACACTTTATTATCTGTGAAGGTATCATGCCAGAATATATTAATATCTAGTTTGATATTGTTTATCTAAGATAGGTAAGATAATATCAATATATGCCTACTTGATAACTAATTATCTTTAATTACTCACAAGTTATTCTATGTCCTAATAAAAGTAACTATTTTTAGAAAGAATGTGAAAAAGTTAAAACACTAATTTGAGCTTAATGCTAATGCCAGTTTTCTTGCAAAAATTGTATCCATTTCGCACTATATAATGTTGCTTGTAAGATACAAAAAAAAGGATGTGAAACTGCATTTCATTTTCTATAAACACAAAAATGAAACAGCCTGGGTGCATAGCTGATATTTTTTTTTTAATGCAGTTATTGCTTTACACTTGTACTCAAAAGCTTAGAGCTTATAGATTGAAAATTGACAGTCAAATTTATTTCCAAAATATGTTGCTATATTGGTGTCATAAAGTATGTCAAAATAAATTGGTAAATAATATGACACATAAAATATAACATAAACAATTTATCATGATATATGTCATTTGTATCTCATATAATAATCTTTACGAACATTTAATAAGAAATCAAGTGTACTTTTTTGTTGGCACCTAAACAAATATAGATTCTAAAAATAGTAACTTAAAGAGCCTCAGCACTGCACATCATGAAATAAAGGAAAACTATTAAATTTTTCTCAAGTGCCTTAAAAACGTTTGTTAGAGTTGCAGTAACTTCTAAAGTACTCTAAGTAGGCTCTACAATATTAACAGTTAGATTATAATAGAAAAAAGATTTAATCCTTCTACACTAACTGCTGCTGTTTCAGCTTCAGATATGAATATATACACAATGAAGCCACAATTATCAAGTAATGTATTATGCATAATGTCTGAAATATTGAGCCAATCTAGGTTTTTTTTATCAAAAGCTTGTCTATACAGATTTATCATTGCCTAACTTTTACTTGTATTGTTAGCCAATTTTAAGTGTGATTTTGACTTATTAACATGTAAGGTGATGAAATTGTGTAAAATTTCACTCAACAAGATATATTGGATTTGCATTATATTATAAATGATTAGTGTAGTAAATATTTTTTGAAAATATGCATGTTATCATTTTGTAGTTTTGAACATCTGAGCTGGTAAAGAAATTAGTTAGCAGGTATATTTTGTGTAAAACAAAGAATGTTTCCGTAATATTTCTTACAATACCAATCAAGTACTTTTCTTGTCAGCAAAGGTTTCATTATAGACCCAAATACTAACAATCTGAACTGCAAAACGATACACTAAATCCAAAAAGCTATGAGCTATTGTAATGGCAAGGGACAAGCTGCTCCAATGTTATCAGCTTTCTAATTGTTCAAAATACCCTCAGAAAGTTGTTATCAACTGGATAATTGCATGTGTGATAGCCATTATCTAGACATTTGGTCTATTATAATCAATGTTCATTCAGATTGAACAAGGTTCAAATGAAGGTCGACAGATTCTCTACTTTCAAACCTATTATAAAATTAAAAAATTAAAAAAAAATTTCCTTTATATGTCTGAAGGCATGTGTAAAAATAGATTCATGGTTCACTTGTTGAAAACCTGACTGTCAAGATACAGAGTTATGTTTAGACGAAATTTTAACATTTTTGTAAGACTTGAATGAACTTTAAGTGCAGATTTTTATGCAGTTACTTAAAATTCATCACTAACACTCGTGGCTTAATCATAGCATCACAATAAAAAAAGGAAGTATTGACGCCATGGCTAGGGCTTACAAATTAATGAATATTACCACTTTTCAAATTGTTTTTTCCAGTATCGTTAAGTTTAATCAAAATTTCACTCTGACAATTGTTCTGCACCAAAATGTAGGTCCACAGTTGATAGAGTAAACTTATATATCTTTTATATAGTTAAGACGAGGAAATTTCAAGGCAATATTTGGCATGAGACAGCACATGTTTTAGTTTAACATATTTCAAGTCTAGACTCTAGGTGTTTCTAATTTTAATATATATATATATCTATTTATATATCGTGTGAGTTAAAATATATTTGAATTTTTAGTAAATTGCATTTTAAAATGAAAAGATCTATTTTGGTATGGGTAACTGAACAAGTTATACAATTATAGCTGCTAGTTAACATAGCGATGAGGGCATTGATCCCTGCAACCCTAAACCACATGCTGTTTATGTTAAAGAACCATCAACTGATAGAAATCCCCCAAAAAATCGACAAATTATCAGCCACATCAAGAGCAAAAAATGGACTTAATACTCCATTCAATGCAAGTTGATATGACAAAATATCTACTTTAAAAGGTCTAACTAAATACTGCCTGTATTAATTTTCTCTTCACATTAAAATGTAGGTTGTTAAAGGTTAAAATTTAATTCAAGAAATGTAATTGAGATACAAAGAAAGGAAATTAAATGAAGTTTGAATATTTTTTGAAAATGATAATTTGCACAATAATTAGCCATGTGGACTGGAAAGAAACGCAGACTTCTCAGCTGTAAAGGGTTTTAAAAAACTGCTATTATTATTGAAGTTGTAATTTCATATATTTGATTACAGAATCCTGGGTTGAGTTACAACAGAATTCTTTATCAACACAAATAGATCCTGAATTACCCCGATCTCAGTCAGCATATAATGGAAACTTTGAAAAGTTATTACAAGAAGCACAACGAGAATCACGAACACCATCACGACCTAACAGTAAAGAGTCTTCAACTAGAACAAGGTAAGAACATTTTATTTGTGATATTTCAACACTTCTCGCTCTAAATACTGTTTTCGTTATCAATATATTGGGGCTACCAAAAATGACAGTTTTTAAGAGAAAGTACATTAATCCTTTGAACACTGAGTGTAAAAAAACACCATATATCTCAGTAAGTGAGTAATATGACTTGAAACATATATGATGTCACTTGGTAATGGCAGCATTCTGATTTCTCAAGCACTTTGTTATATAGCCAGTAGAGAGACTACTTATGTTGAAAGAGTTAAGCAAAACTTAATAATAACCGTGGAAAATGTGGATTCAGATTGAACCTTTATGTAACTTTGTTTTCAGTCCAAAGAATCCAGGTAGTCCTACCAATGAATGGGTGAGTGGAAGTTGGAGAGAAAAACAGGTAAATAATCAAGCTGAAATATTTCACATATTTTCATATAAGTTCTTATATATCCATGAAAAACAGTCGTATCTGCAGTAGAAAATCTGACACTTGGAAGAAATGACTATGGTTTTTAGAATTATTCTTTGTCAACTTTGCATGAAATTCAAACCCGTGAGACCTTATTTCATAGCATATGACTCACTCTCAAGTTATCCACTGAATTGTTTTGAGTGATTTGTAGATTTTAGAATGTTTTGATATTATTAATAATTAATATTTGTAGGACCCTGGTACAGATTGGATTTGGGATTGGTCCAGTAGACCAGAAATACTACCAAACAGGTATTGAGTCTTTATACATCCATAATTTAAACCTATGCCGAGCTCTTATTAATCATTGAACACTATAAGAAAATATATAAAAGAAATATGAACAGATCTTCAGAATTGAGAATGTATTTCAGTGCATTCTTTTTTCAGTTTTTGGGAAATACCTTTTAAACCCAAACTAGTAATTTTATCAACAATGTGTAAATATGTTTATTTCAAGTGATTGGAATGGTAAATTTAAACATCCTGGAGCCAAACCTATTAAACATACCCTCAGTGTACGCCATTCTAAAGCTATGAAAAAAGGTGGAATATTTAACTTTGAAAACATACCAACATTATTGCTGACACATGCTTGCACATTTTTCTTAGGAGCAGCAGTGTAAGTATTTCTTTCTTTTTATTTTCATTTACTAGCTTTATGTCAAGTGTCCTAATTTGAAAGATTTATAACTAGAGCTCTAACTTTCATAAGCAAAATCAGGAAGAAAGATCATTATCAAATCTAATGCATGGCCATTCATCAGAGTTTCTCGGGGCCGTGGTAACACAAGTGAGAAAAATTATGTAGTCATAGCTAAATATTGTCCAATCAAAATTGGCCAAACTGTATTGGTAACAAATTTCAGCCAATCAAAACAAATCACTCTTTATGATGCTTTGTTTGCTAACGTAAACAAAACAAAAACAGCATGCCATTATATATTTTGATGAATATGTACGGTATAAAATTGAGTAAGATTTTCATTAAAGAATTGAAGCCGAGAGAAGCCAAAAAAAAAACTTTGGAATATGTACTTGGAAAGAATGTGTACAAGTTAATAAGAACACTCAAAACCTGTATTTGTGATACGATGATGCTTGGCTTGAGTTATTGAAGTAAATTTGATGAAGGGTTGATAAAAAATAAATTTATTTATAAAGTTTGAAAAATAATTCATATTTTGAAATTTCATAGATAGAATTGAAATGGGGGTACAATTTTTTTTCTGGAAGAGTGAATGGCCCCTTGTATCCCTATTGCTACAACATTTCATCCTACATATAATCCTGTCATTTTATATTTTTGTTTTCAGTATGTTTGTATATGTAAAGAAGTATTGCACAGGATGGACAATGGTTTCATTGGATTGACCTGGTCATTTCTAAAACTTAATGGGATCTGAATGATTGCATGAATGATGAACGCATGTCTAGTTTGGGCAAACTGTATCTTTATATTGTATAAGTATAATCACATATTTATTAATTTATATTCCCAATCATTAAGGATTTCCTTATTTTTCGAATTTCTAAAAGCAAATTTATTCACTTTCAACTCTATTTTTAAACCCAAACCAAAGAACTATATCTTCCTTCTAAACTTTTAAAAAAAAAAAAATCCATTTGAAAAAATAATATGGAGACAGCTATGTATTAGAATCTTAGAATACAGCTTGAATGGCTTGCAATAACTTCAAACAGAAGTGACCAACAGATTAAATGTATTACTTACTGAATTTATTCAATATGTAATTTTATTCTAACTCGTTTAATTGCATGTAGGCTATCAAATAGTGAAACACTATTGCCTATTTAAAGTTTTTGTGAAATCAGTTTGAAACAAGATACTTTAAAAATCATGCAGAATAAAGTGGTTTGCATTTAACCAATTTGGCAAGCAAGATAGGCCTACATTTAACCTTACATTAGGATCATGGAAATTCAAATTGAATCGAAATACAAATTTCTTTTCCTATCTATCATGTGATAAAATTTGCTTTTATTTCGATTTTTATCCCTTTGTTTTTTAAATATGTGCAATTATATCTTTTTTCTTTTATCTTAAAGACATTTTTAATGTCTTTCAATTTCTTTAACTTTGCGTTATTAGAATTGTAAAGATGTTGTGTATTATTCAGAGAATGCATTAATTGAACATTTTGTCTCCTGAATTTGACAAAGCCAAATAAATTGGTCATTTAATATGCTTTTTACATCAAGTTGATTTTAATTATTTGTAAGTGCTGGTTTTTAGTTAGTGCTAGTAAGCATTCAATTTTTTATCATTTATCAAACCCAATCCAATTATCTTATTATTATCTATGTATACTTCTATAATATACTCTGATTGTGTTTTATTTCTACATATTTTGTTGTGAACAAAAAAATCCCTAGAAATGGACAATTCATGCTAAAAAATATTTGTTTATTTTTTCTTGATCATTTCAAAAAATCATCTCTTTGAGATTTGAAGTAGGATTTATACTACATTATAATATTGATCTGCTTCAGTCAGAAAAATGCAGACATTCAGTAAAGCGCTATGTCCTCCCATAGCTTTTTCTGAACGAAAAATTATATTTAAATTTGTATACACACAGTAATCTGATTGGTTGAGGATATAACTATTATTGACCAATCAGATGGTATTGTTATAATTTAAATTTGTGTGAAAATGATCAGAGCTGAGTGTAAACAATAAATATGCCCAACAGAAATGATGATATGAACTGGTTTGTTGTTGAGATATGTATTGTATTTGTAATTATACTAATTTGTTTCAAACTGGAGTGACAGTGGCACTTTTTTTTTAAGTCATCCATTTTTTCTTGTAAACTATACCTTGCTCATTAGAACAGAAAAAATGTTCTATTTACAGCCTTAAAATAATGTATGAAATTTTCAATATGTGACTTCCAATTCTAAACAGGTTTTGGATATTGAGTACTGTTCAATATTATAATAATTTGCTCTGTTCATTTTAATTTCATTCCGCTCACTTTTATGATTCATTTTACATTCAAAGACTTCCCAGATTAATTGGATTCCATCTTCTGTAGAGGGTTTGTTTTTGTTTCAAAGGTTTGCTTGAAATTTACTAATATTTTGAAAAAAATATGAATTCTGTAAATTTAATGTTAATTTCATGTATGTAAAACTACAAAATTTTCTTTTTGATATTTAACTACCCTATATTTTGGAAATATGTGTTTTGGACATTTAGAAGTGTTTATGTGTTTCTTTGTTGAACTGAAATATTTTTTATTAGTTACTATCTGTATTTTTGAGATGGAGACAGATTTGAATTTGATTGTCAAGAATTGATCCGTAATGATACATTTATGAGGTCATTGAATTATAAAGATAATAATCCTTTAATTCTTACAAAAAACAAACTTGATTGCTTATGCTTCAAATCTGCATATTTGAACCATTTAAGTAAAAGAATTGAGCAGGGTTCCATTATTTTGACTGAATTCTAACTACAACTGTGCATGCTATACATGCAGTATTGCTATGATAACATGTATACTCTATAATGTGTATATGTATTGTATTTATCTTGTATTTATGTACATTTTCTTATATATTCTCTATAAACATTGTATAATTCTAATAGTAATAAGGCGCACATCAATGTTACGTGTGGTTTATGTTATTTGGATACAAAATCTTTTTATTTTTGAGAATTTAAAAACTTTTTTAAAAAATGCTTGTTTGGTAGCCTACTGAGTATATAAGTCTGCAACTTTTTGATTGTGAGAAAAATTTTTTTGAGATTGCGTTTAAAAAAGTAATGCACTAAAAAGTTTGGATAAATTTTATTAATCTGAAAATTTATTTACATTGTAAATTGTATTTTCATGGCTTTTGCTTTCAGAATGGTAAACACAACTTTCAGTTTATAATTCTAAATCATTCACCTTAAAGAGGCAGTTTGCGCTAAATTATATTGCATATTTTGAAATATTCATATCTTAATCTCAAAAGAACTGTTACAGCAATAAATTTTGAAAATCAAACTATTTTCTAAAAATTTATTACCATTGAAATTAATGGAAATATAAACAAATTTATAAATTTGAGGTTCAAAGGGAAACATTAATTTTTTGATAAATATTGTTAATATGATGTTGGCGCATACTCCCCCTTTAAGTACTGATATCCAAAAGACGCTGCATTCCAGTTAGTTGCAACTTGTGTGAGCTGGTTCAGAATCAGTTTGTATAGTGCTTGATAACTATTTACTTTTAATTATCACTAGTCTATTCATTTTTATTATATTAATTGTATTACAAAGAAAATACAGTTTCTGGTGTATTAAAAAACGGTACTAATTTTCTTAAATCAAACCCCAGTCATGCACTATGACCATGTAAATAAACATGTTAGACCTATATCTTAGAAAATTGTTGGTGCTGGAAATTAATATTCACTATTTTGTGTTGAGCTTACTGCAATTCTATTTTCATGTTCTTGTCATGGAGAAATATGATAAATTTCTTACATGTTAAATATCTTATTAAAATGTATTTGATATTGTGATAAGGTGCATGATCTTATATGAAATAAAATTTAATTGAAATAACTCGTATGTTTTTATTTGAAGTTGGTACCAACAAAGAAAAAAGGGAAAGAAAGGTCTGCTCTGGTAACTCTGGAGTAACGTACCTAATAATTCGTTCCGAAGACTAAAGTTAAGGCAGCTTAACCATCAACCATTCTTTGAGTCTGGTTTATGTTTTGTGAGAGTTAGACGGGTAAAAAAGTTCATGCAGGTTGGGCAGTACCTCAGTAGATATCAAAAAATTTAAATGTCACAATACCAATACTCATGAGCATTTTTTGTTCAGACGAAAGACTCAAGAAAGGCGTCTTAACTCTATTCATCTGAACACACTGTAAGTAAGGCAAGCAAAGATTTTCTCGAAAATAACTGACATTAAGTCAAGAGTAGAGAAAAATAATAAGTGGTTTGAGATTTACTCATCTTGTTTTGGGCAATATAGCCTTCCATAGTCATACGTAGAGACAGTCTTGACAATGAAGTCTATTGGGTAAATAGTTAGCCTTTCTTATCACATAATGATAATGACTATGATAGTCTATTTTTATCTTCCACGTCATTTTTGACAGCTGTACGAAAACGCTTTGGTAAATTCTACGTTTTTCGTTAACAAAGTAGGATGTCGAAGGCTTATCAGGTTATTTATGTCGATGATTTTGAGAGTTTAACTTTATATTGAATGTTACATAAAATTGGAAAAAGAAAGCCGATGTTGTGTGGACTACGCGAATCAAGAAATGGGTCAGTTTATGTGTAAATTATGGAAGGCCAAAGAGGTCAGAATTCTTATGATGGGTAAGTTTATGGTTCTGTAAGTTGCTGCTGGTAAATCAACTATTTTATATACATTAAAATTAGGAGAAGTTGTAACAACTATAAGAACTATTTTATATTATTTGTAGGTTTAGATGCTGCTGGTAAATCAACTATTTTATATTATTTGTAGGTTTAGATGCTGCTGGTAAAACAACTATTTTATATACATTGAAAATAGGAGAAGTTGTTACAACTATACCAACTATTTTATATTATTTGTAGGTTTAGATGCTGCTGGTAAAACAACTATTTTATATACATTGAAATTAGGTGAAGTTGTTACAACCATACCAACTATAGGTAAGTAGGCCTGTATGTAGGCCTCACCTATACATTTTTTCCAGGTGCAATCTCAGATAGAAATAGTAACACTAAGCTTTCACTGAAAATAGTGGACGGTTGATGATACTGTACCACATGTCATGCTTTATAATACATGATGTATTATATTGTAAGCGGAATATGTAGGATCTTATGAGCCCCTTTACTAAAAAATAAAGGAAAAATACCAATTGGTGTAGGTTAAATGAAATTTCCTTATTATTACCCACAATTTTTTCAGGCTTTAATGTAGAGACAATTCAAGAAAAAAAACTAGGTTTAACTTTTACTGCCTGGGATGTAGGAGGTAGAGATAAAATAGTAAGTTTAGTATACCAGTAGTATCAATAGTATATTGGTCAATCAATACATTGTGATACAACATGTCATGATACGTGTACCACTGACATGATAAAAACATAGTTTATGTATAACATGGTTGTATTTTTTACGTTAAAGAAATATCAACTTAAGTCAATTTCACTTATTTCAAATAGATATAATATTTACTTATGCAGATCATTATATATTTCAGCGTCCATTAATGAGACATTATTTTCCGAACACAGATGCCCTGCTATATATAGTAGATAGTACGGATGATGAAAGATTAGATGATGCTCTCAGTGAACTCTGTCAGTGTTTAAATGAAGATGAATTACGTGACAGTATTTTTATGTTACTGTGTAATAAACAAGATAAACCTAACGCCATGACTGCAGAAGATATTCATAAAAAATTCTCTGAAAAGTGCGGAACAAAGAAAGGTAAATATTTTAATCCAAAGAACTTGAGACAATCTGATAATAGCACAACTGTTGACATTGTTTCTCTTGTTTTTTGTCATTTTGCTCTTTTTTTTTAGTAAGAGCAATTGTTATCTAAAGGGACAGATGTGCCATTTTTTTGCACCAATTGTAACTTAGTCTCAGAAATGGGAATAACGTTCACAGCTCAATTTGAGCATTCAAGTCCATATGTGTCCAGAATTATCTGCATCATCTTTTCTTGAGACACTGCCATATATTAAAACGACTTCTATAGAAATAGGAATAGAAATTCCCAGTTTGAGGTATTTTTGAAGGAATCATGTGATTTTCGTACATTTCTAGTACTTCTGAAGACTTTTTACATATATTCAAGATTCAAATCAGCCCCCAAAAAATGGTGCACTGAGTCGTAATACTAGAATTTGTCAGGTATATTTCTCTTATAATAGAGGACTCATAGAGGTGGTTTATCATCCAGTTCCAAATTAGTTTAAAATGAAGTAAAAGAAAATTATTTTGAACATACAATTTTAGACTTCAGGGTCCCAACCGTTGTTTTTTGCAGATATTGGTGTATTTCCTGTCAGTGGAATCAATAGAGAAACTTTAATGGAACCATTAAAATGGTTATCAGAGAGATTGGCTAGTAGACAAACTTGGAATGTAACCAAATCTTCTGTAACCGAAGCTAAAGACATAGTAAAACCTGTAACCAATCCTGTTGGATATTTCAAACAGAGTTGGTTTTATTTCACAAGTTTATTCCAAGCAACTGAAAATTGAAAACATTATGTGATGACATAATAATATAATAACACTCCATTCAGACTGATTTATAATGTGATATAACACTCCATTCATACTGATTTATAATGTGATATAACACTCCATTCATACTGATTTATAATGTGATATAACACTCCATTCAGACTGATTTATAATGTGCTATAACACTCTTTACAGACTGATATATAATGTGATATAACACTCCATTCAGACTGATTTATAATGTGGTATAACACTCCATTCAGACTGATTTATAATGTGATACTACGCTCCATTCAGACTGATTTATAATGTGATATAACACTCCATTCAGACTGATTTATAATGTGATATAACACTCCATTCAGACTGATTTATAATGTGATATAACACTCCATTCAGACTGATTTATAATGTGATACTACACTCCATTCAGACTGATTTATAATGTGATACTACGCTCCATTCAGACTGATTTATAATGTGATACTACACTCTTTACAGACTGATATATAATCAGTGATATAATGTGATATAACACTCCATTCAGAATGATTTATAGTGTGATATAACACTCCATTCAGACTGATTTATAATTGATAAAACACTCCATTCAGACACTCCTTCACTCTTTTCAGTCTGATTTTTAATGTTATACTACACCCAATTCAGACTGATTCATAATGTGATATAACACTCCCTTTCGATTGATTGATAATGTGATGCAAAACTCCTTTCAGACTGATTTAAAATGTGAGATCACACTCCATTCAGACCGAGTTATTTCATGTGATATCACATGCAAACAGATTATTATGTGTTGTAACACTTCTTTCAAACTAGTGGAGGCACAAAATAAAATAAGCTGACATACTTCATGGTCTAATAGCCTCAGAATTTAATGGGATTTCAGTCATTGATAGATTAATATTTTGTCCTGAGTTTTGAGATATATTTTTTCTCATTCAAAGCCAATAGTTAATTGCTAACATTAAAATTTAGATTTTGTTTAAAGATGGGTTCCCTTATTTTCATTCAGAAAAATGAAAGTGCTAATACTTATATGAATAAAAAGTAGAGGTGTTCTAATGACTTGGAAAAATACCAGTTTGTCTCTCATGCCCATAATTAATTCATCATTAGCTGAATAAGAAGAGAATGACTACCAGAATTCCAATGAATGTCCGATCAAGAAAGGTCAAAAAGTCTTTTTTTTTGTTTATGCAGACTGTACATACATGTACATTTATGATTAGTTAAAACTCTTAATCATATGCAATAAGAACATAATAATATGATTAAGAATACTTGATAATTCATTAGAAACACCAATTTATCAAATTGTTTGCTTAATTTGACACTAAAGAATACGGAAACCCATCTTTATATATTTATATTTTGTTATTATTATATTTTTATTTGTTGAAATAAATGAAAGGCTTTTTAAATACATGCTTTCGTGCACTTCAGCAGATGCAGGCTTCAATCTGGCTCAGTTTGATGAATTACATTTGTCTTTCCTAATGTTGCATACTTCGGGGATTGCTCTTGCTAGAAGACAATAGGTTTGATACTTTGTGTTGGTTATTAATATGTCCCTCGTTGCTTATTGCACAGCAATACTCATCTTCAATGCCAAATTCGATGAGAAAACTCCATTTCATTTTATTTGTAGATAATTTTTCCTTCTCAAGGTAGGAGGGGTGTCTAAAACGAATTGTGAGGAAAGTACATATACCCACGACAGCATTCAAAAAAGAACAATTTCTATGGTGAAAAAAAAATGTTATTGTAACATTTTTAATATCGGACTCGCATTTGTAGATTTTTTAGGAGATGATATGTAATTGTTACTCTTCAATTTTTCTAACCAAAATGAATTCACGAGTTCTTTTCTGGGAAACGTGTAAATTTTGAATTTGTAAGAAACTTTTAAAGAAGTTTTATGAAGGAATTGTTTACCCCAACCACCATACATTAAATTGATTATATCCCAGCTATTTGGTTTATTTTAAAGTGTAGTCAGTGGTATAAAGAAACCTACACTCTATTTGCGCTGATTAATTTGTGGCCATTGTGTTGGATATTAAATCCTTGATTAAGGATGAATTTTGTTCAGAAATTTTCAAGTTAGGAAAAAGTTATATTCACAGATTAGTTGTGAGCTTAAATCAGTGTAGGCCAGAGATCTTTTCACACCTGTATTGCTCATTAAGAATGCAGACATCCCAGTGTACACTTTTTTTTGTTGTCATGTCAGCAACATAACAGAACATTTTCTTCCTTGGTGATTAATTTGAAAATGTCATTTATTTATTTTGACATTCATTAGGTAAGTTTTTCATTCATTAATATATGATAGGAATAAAGCTAAAGAGATGATAATATTATATGATATGATATAACGTAAGGTATGATTATATTCTAATAATGATAGGAATTAAACTGCAGGAATGGTAATGTTATAAAATATAGCAAAAATTAAACTGTAGGAATGAAAATGTTATAATATAGAATGATAATGTTATAATATACAACAAGAATAAAACTGTAGGGATGATAATGTTATAATATACAACAAGAATAAAACTGTAGGGATGATAATGTTATAATATACAACAAGAATAAAACTGTAGGGATGATAATGTTATAATATAGAATGATAATGTTATAATATACAACAGGAATAAAACTGTAAAAATGATAATGTTAAAACATATAGCAAAAATAAAACTGCAGAAATAATAATTTCATATCATACAACAAAAATAAAACTGTAGGAATGAAAATGTTATAATATAGAATGATGATGTTATAATATACAGCAAGAATAAAACTGTAGAGATGGTAATGTTATAATATACAACAAGAATAAAACTGCAGGGATGATAATGTTATAATATACAACAAGAATAAAACTGTAGGGATGATAATGTTATAATATACAACAAGAATAAAACTGTAGGAATGATAATGTTATAATATAGAATGATAATGTTATAATATACAACAAGAATAAAACTGTAGGAATGATAATGTTAAAACATATAGCAAAAATAAAACTGCAGAAATAATAATTTCATATCATACAACAAAAATAAAACTGTAGAAATGATAATGTTATAATACAGAATGATAATGTTATAATATACAACAAAAATAAAACTGTAGGGATGATAATGTTATAATATATAACAAGAATAAAACTGTAGGGATGATAATGTTATAATATAGAATGATAATGTTATAATATACAACAAGAATAAACTGTAGGGATGATAATGTTATAATATACAACAAGAATAAAACTGTAGGAATGATAATTTCATATTATGCAACAAAAATAAATTCTGTAGGAATGATACTGTTATAATATAGAATGATAATGTTATAATATACAACAAAAATAAAACTGTAGGGATGGTAATGTTATAATATACAACAAAAATAAAATTGTAGGGATGATAATGTTATAATATACAACAAGAATAAAACTGTAGGAATGATAATGTTATAATATAGAATGATAATGTTATAATATACAACAAAAATAAAACTGTAGGGATGGTAATGTTATAATATAGAATGATAATGTTATAATATACAACAAAAATAAAACTGTAGGGATGGTAATGTTATAATATACAACAAAAATAAAACTGTAGGAATGATAATGTTATAATATAAAATGATAATGTTATAATATACAACAAAAATAAAACTGTAGGGATGGTAATGTTATAATATACAACAAGAATAAAACTGTAGGGATGATATTGTTATAATATACAACAAGAATAAAACTGTAGGGATGGTAATGTTATAATATACAACAAGAATAAAACTGTAGGGATGATATTGTTATAATATACAACAAGAATAAAACTGTAGGGATGATAATGTTATAATATAGAATGATAATGTTATAATATACAACAAGAATAAAACTGTAGGGATGGTAATGTTATAATATACAACAAAAATAAAACTGTAGGAATGATAATGTTATAATATAGAATGATAATGTTATAATATACAACAAAAATAAAACTGTAGGGATGGTAATGTTATAATATACAACAAAAATAAAACTGTAGGAATGATAATGTTATAATATAGAATGATAATGTTATAATATACAACAAAAATAAAACTGTAGGGATGGTAATGTTATAATATACAACAAGAATAAAACTGTAGGAATGATAATGTTATAATATAGAATGATAATGTTATAATATAGAATAATAATGTTATAATATACAACATGAATAAAACTGTAGGAATGATAATGTTAAAACATATAGCAAAAATAAAACTGCAGAAATAATAATTTCATATCATACAACAAAAATAAAACTGTAGGAATGATAATGTCATATTATGCAACAAAAATAAAACTGTAGGAATGAAAATGTTATAATATAGAATGATAATGTTATAATATACAACAAGAATAAAACTGTAGGGATGATAATGTTATAATATATAACAAGAATGAAACTGTAGGAATGAAAATGTTATAATATAGAATGATAATGTTATAATATACAACAAGAATAAAACTGTAGGAATGATAATGTTAAAACATATAGCA